AGAAGGGGCGTGGGGCAGGCGCTGAGGTGTGCTTACCCCACTGGGTGTCGTGGGAGCCGGGGCTGGGCGTTGAGGGCGCTTGCCCCGCTGGGTGTTGCAGGAGCCGGGGCTGGACTAACACGGGCTGCGGGGCAGGATCTGAGGCGCGGTTGCCCTGCTGAGTCACACACAGCCTGTCGGCCTCGCCTTCAGGACTTTAAAGCCCCCCAAAGAAGCCAGCCCCCCCCCGGAGACCCTGCCCAGCCCTGGCAGCCCCGCTGGGGGCTCTGAAGGGGCCCCACCTCCTTGTGGTTCTCCTGGAGCTGAGCCAGCTCCTCCTGCAGGCTTTCCACCTGCCCCCGCCGGCTGGCTCTGCTCAGGGCCAGCTCGTCCAGCACCTTGCGCAAGCCGCCGAGGTCGCTCTCCTCGCCCAGCCGCATGGCCAGCTCCGACTCGAACCTGTGCGAGAGGCGCGGGAGGCTGCGTCTCAGCAGGGACCCGGCCGGCTGAGCACGGAACCACCCGCGGGCCCCTGCTGTGGGACCCTCCCGCCAACCCCTGGGCCTAGAGCGCACGGGCGTCTGCAGCCAGGCAGGCATTCGCCTCAGCTGGGTTTCCAAGCAGCTGCCGTGGCCGCGAGGGAGCCCGTGTGGACAGCCCCCCTGGCCCAGGCAGCCTCCAGGCACTAGCGCCAAACAAATCAACTAATACAGGGGTTGCTACTTTTCCAATGGCTGGTAACCAGACCCCCAGGACCCAACCCCCTGCCCCCACTCCGCTTCCTCCCTGGAGGTTCCACCCCCTTCTTGTGCCTCTCTTCCCCAGCCTCAGCACAGCAGGATCTGGCGTGGATTAATAACCCGGGTCCTCTGTCCTCTCCCTGCCCAGCAGTAACGAGGCTTCTGGTGCCATTGGGGGTCACCAATGTCCCCTTTTCAGCCAGACTTTCCGGTTGAAAGCTGGGATTCCGTCAGTCCTCAGTGGTACCCAGACACAGAAACCAAATCCCAGACAGGCGGCCGGCAACTCTAACTAAATCACGTCTCCTTTGCATGCGCAAATGTCTGTTTTAGAACATGCTTACATAACCGCCACAGGGAAGATTCGAACCAGGGACCTCTGGGGCCACTACCACTTGAGCTATGAAGCCAGCTGGCTCTCAGCTTAGGCTCTAGAGCTCCCTTGTTTTTAGCTCTTGCGGTCTGTGGTCTAAGTGCCGCTCCATGGGACTATGAACCACACTAGGTGTGGGGGTTACACCTCCCAGGCGAGCCTGGCAGGTAGCCACTTCCTGGGGATGCAAAGGGGCCCAGCCTTGCAAATTTCTCAGGGGCAGTTTCAGAAGCTGCTGTGAGAACTCGGTGCTTAAAGAAAAAAGCCGAGAAGGAGCGGGGGCCAGGTTGCTGAAGTCATCCGCGGCCAGCGTGGCATTATCAATCTGCAGGACCAGCTGGGCGTTGCTCACTGAAGCGGCCTGGATCTGCAGGAGAGAATGGGCGGCTAGTGGGTGCTTTGCAGCTTTCAGGTGTGTAACCATCACCGACCAGGTGACCAGCGCCAGCGGATCTCAGAACAGAGGCTCTTCAAATCCCGTTGCCGTGGAAGGGAAAATATTAGCAGGAGGGTGGTGACCAGCGGCCATCACAACCCCCCACTCCAGCTGTCGGGGAAGGGGTCAGGCCAGCAGAGGCTGCTGCCTTGAGGTGCATAAATTCGTCACACTAGTACAAGCCATTGGTCTGTATTTCAGCAGAGCAATAGTGGAAGCTGCTGACCGTTCAGCTGCCATT